ACTCCTGCACCACCAGGTCCAAATCCTGCACCACCGGGCCCTACTCCTGCACCACCAGGTCCAAATCCTGTTCCTCCAAGCGCTGTTCCAACACCGCCTAAGGTGCAACAATACAAAAGTCAACCTTTTTTCAATTGCTAAAGCTGTTCATTATTGATTAATGAACATGAAGAGTCGCTACCTGTTTTTGGAGGTTTGGGACCAGTTCCTGGGTATTGAATCCCACCACCTGGTCCAAAACCACCTCCATAGCCACCTGTGTCAGGACAGATCTTTGTTTACTGTGCATATATCCTTGAAGGTAGGCATTGTATAAATAGGTAATTGTTTGCTTAAGGGGAAAATAATCCTGTCCACTTTATTATGTGTCTGTGACGAACATTTTTGTAGCTGCTTGACTGTTTCATTTTGTTTCACAGACATTGTTTAGACAAATTGTGGTGTGTGGATCACAGAGACCCAGAAATAATATAGAAATTACACACAAAAGACACATAATAGATGTAGAAAAATGAAAACCACTGACCCCCAGGTGTGAGGCCTGTTCCAACTCCCTGACCTCCGCCAGTCCCAATGCCTCCTGCTCCAAGGCCTCCATATCCTGATGAGGAGATAAAATGAAATGGAATACTTAGTGCTTCCCTAAATTGGTTCATGTGACATAAACACTAAATCATGCATAAAATAATTTAGCATGTCCCTGCACAGCTCTACACGCTTCTAATGCTACATGTAGCATGACTGCCCAAGAGGAACCTCACAAGGATTCATTTGTCCTTCATGAGGGTCTTTGTTTGAGGTGTGATTGTTGGACTTTTAGACATCTTTAATCTTATGTTTGTCTGTAGTTGGGTCAGTACCATTTACATGGTTTTAGAGAGGAAACAGAAGCATATGTGGTGTGTAAACATAAATTTGGTCACTCCCTGTATTAAACGGAGCTGCTGTACATGATGCTTCTTACATATACTGGGGTCAGTCATTTCTAGCTTTACGCAACAACAGAAAATATATTTTGTTCCAGAAATGAAGTCTAGCTCTAAGCAGCTCCAGTTCACTGTGTTCATTTGCACAGTTTTGACCTGACTTTGTGTATTTTTTAAATTATAGTCTAGTATTTACAAAGCATGCCTCCCATTGCTTGTTCAGGTGAACTAAGATGTTTGCAACTTGTTCTTCAGGGTGGAGCAAGGAAACAGAAACTCAGTGTACATTATTATGTAGCGTGGATGAAAAAATGTGTTCAGCTGTGATGGTCAGACTTTTGGTAAACTGGAAAAAGTGACATATGTGTCTGTTTCCTGACACTGACCCGTTTTTTTTTAGCTAGCAGTATAATGGGTGGATTTCAAAAGGTTCCACAAAGCCGAGGCTTAACCTCTTAAGAATCGTTTGGATATTATCACCAACATTCCTTATCCTGCGCAGGCAACTCACATGTTTTAGGGATGAAAAACAGAGAGGCCTAAAATTCCAAAGCAAATCAGTCTTTCTGACTGACGTGATGACTTCCGTCCTTTATCAGGGGCCTGCCATGCCTAATGCATTAGCCTTTATCACTGTATATGTGCATATGTGTGTGGGTGAGGGTGGGTGGCCCCCAAACAATAGCTTATAACCTTGAGGTAATGAGGAAATGAAATAATGGTACATGTATGCAGTCCTTATCCTGCTGCATTGAATTGACCAGAGGAACAATATTTACAGTACAGGGGCTGACCGCAGATCCATGTGTGCAGAGAACTTCCGCTTATTGTGAAGGTCACATGATGCAAGTAAATACAGCAGGCAATATTGATAATCAAATACAACCTTCAAATGATGGTTGTGTTTATGACTCTTACCATTGTACTGTCGAATATATGCTTGGGGCCTGTAACAAAGTATCAGTATTTAGTATAGTATAGTATAGTATAGTATTGTATTGTATTGTATTGTATTGTATTGTATTGTATTGTATTGTATTGTATTGTATTTATTTATCACTATTTATTTATCCGGCTGTGTAATATTTTGCCAATTTCTAACAAATCTGTAGCAGCACTAACCGTTATTAACTGTAGCTACTCCCATTGTAGTACAGTGAGTGCCTTTGTATATAATGAGAGTGATGTTTTGTATTGTATTTCAAACATTTGACTGCTGACTTTCGAGATGTTCCACCTGTTCCTAGGTGCAGGAGAGACAAACCCTTATTACTTAATCCTTTCAAGAAACTGAAGATCTAAACTTTTTTGATCAATTACAGATGATGAAATTAACAGATAAACCTTCACTTTGTTACCCCAACAGAGAGGAGATTCAGTGGCTCTGTTATGCTGTGGGGGGCATTTTGGTGCCATAGTTGGACTTTATTTGTGCCCTTAAAGAGAACAGTCACTGTAAATCAATGCAAAGTTGTTCTGAATGACCACAATAATCCTGAGTGGTCGTTTTCTTTAATTTGATACCTATCTGTAAAACTTCATACCTGTCCCTTGGCCACCAGGACCAGTTTGTCCTGGTCCAAAACCGGCTGGACCAACTCCTCCAGGCCCTGTTCCATAGCCTCCAGGTCCAACACCACCTGGACCAAAACCACCTGCCCCGACTCCACCCGGTCCCAGTCCTCCTCCTACGCCACCAGCTCCTAGTCCTGCCCCACGACCGCCGTAGCCGCCCCCTAAAGACATAAGTAAGACACCACGACAAATCTCTTAGACATTATAGACATTACAGCCATTACAATGGTCTGAGTTTGTTTCTATACACTCATAAAAAACTATTGAATATTTCCATGCATAAATTTCTCCCCATTTAGCTTCTTTATCTTAGAGTATCCTCTTTTGGTTGTGAGATGACACTTTTCTCCTGATAAACACAATCTTGAACCAGTGTTGTAACAACAGACAGGCCTAAAAGTCTTACCTGTTTTTGGAGGCTTTACACCTGCAAGGAAACATCAATCATTTTAATTAAACAGTAACATGATGGTAATGTAGCTAGACTCTACAGACATTGAATGAAATAAATATACAACATGCCAACCAGCCACGTTTTTCTTACCAGCCCCAACTCCTCCAGGTCCAACTCCAAGTCCACCACTGCTTGGACCAAAGGTGCCGGGCCTGAACCCTCCCGCTCCGACTCCTCCCGGTCCAACTCCTCCTGGTCCAACTCCTCCTGGTCCGACCCCTCCTGGTCCGACTCCTCCAGGTCCAAATCCTCCTGGTCCAACTCCTCCAGGTCCAATTCCTCCAGGTCCAAATCCTCCTGGTCCGACTCCTCCAGGTCCGACCCCTCCAGGTCCAACTCCTCCCGGTCCAACTCCTCCTGGTCCAATTCCTCCTGGTCCCTGACCACCATAGCCACCTGAGAAATAGAGTGATCATGAGTTGAAAACGTTCTAAATTTAAGTAGATGAAGACAGACTAGACATCAGTGCTAAAAGCTTAAACATCATACACACATTTATAGTCAGATTTGTTTCTTGTGGTTGAAATCATCATGAGGAAGTCATTATCTATGAGGTATAGAAACACACTTTCTGTTTTGCCTGGCTTGCAGCCTGGAACTCCTCCAGTCACTGATATCATTTAAACAAAAGATACTGTAAATTGAAATGCAGTGCTTGTATAAGTGATGACAGAATCTTAAATGTGCAAGTATCATTTTTCATGAACACAACTGCATCTGAAAGGAATGCCGATGATTGCATTTACTTGTAGTGATATAAGTCCTATATAGTGATATAAGAGATAAGTCTTTCTCAAACAGTTAAACATGTCAGTTCTGGTTTTCACTGTATAACTTCAAACAGAAGTAATTCTCATTAAAACTGTGCAGAAAGCACAAGTGGTATCTACCTCCACCAGCTCCCGGTCCAAATCCTCCTAAACCAGCGCCAGCTCCTCCTGGTCCAACTCCTCCACCAGGCTGAAATCCTGTCCCGGCTCCTCCAGGGCCAAAACCTGTTCCAGTCCCACCTGGTCCAAATCCAGTTCCAGGCCCTGCACCGGCTCCGACACCAGCTCCAGCTCCTCCTGCAGCACCACCAGCTGGTATGTATACACCTGATACAAACAGAACCAGTTCAGAGCTGCATTGCGTGCAAAACCCAACTGCAGTATTATTTTGAATTTTTTCAAGTTAAAACTATGCATTTCTACAACTCTGTTTCAGTCAACCATCATATTTTATAAAACATTACTTGTTATGAATTGAAGTAAGTAATTTACACTGTTCTTTCTAAATGAGCAGAAAAACACATTTGTATACACAAAACAGTTTAATAGTGAACAGTGTTTGTGTTGTTTTGGCCTACAAACAGATGACAGAATTTGTGGAATTTATGAGTCATCAGTCAGAGCTAATGAGGCATAATTTTCTCCTCTTTGCCAGCTCTTAACCCACTTAATTTGTCCAAGTAACAAGGATTACATTTAACAAATGGGATTAAATGCCGTATAAGCAGAGACAAAAAAAAAAAGAGTGTGTATATATGTGTGCTTGTGTATGGCGATTATCAACTCTGTGCTTGGTGTCTGAGCTTCTCCGTAGCTGATAACAAACACCGCTTCATCCAAAAGGCATGCCTCTCTGGTCATAATTCTCACACTTTTCTGCACCTATGTTTTATTTCACAAATCACAATAGCTAAAAATAGAAACTCAGAGTGCGAATAACTATAAAAGGAAAGGTTTTTTAAGATCCCACAGTCCAGATGTGAAAAGAAGAAGTCTGTAGGGATTCCTAAAGAATGTGAGTTACTGATCTCACAGTAATGCCATGTACAGCACATTAACAACACAGTAAATAACTTAACTGTTCAGTCATTCAGCTCTGCCTGCTGGATTGTGCAGAGCAGAGACTTGCCAAAAAGTTTTTGTTGTTTTTGGAGAAATCTTTATCGAAAAGAAGCATTATACAGGTACAATTCTCGAATTCATGAGAGATGGAAAGGGTTTTTTTTCTACGTTTTCGTAATATCTCAGTAATGACATACTGATGTTTATCTCATTTTATTACTACGACCATATTTAAATAATACTGTTGTAGTTTGTGCTAGCCTGGCTTTGAGGATTGTTTCCTCCAGTGGCATCAGCCTCTTGACATTTTTGGTTTAGCTTTAAATGTGTCTGCAATTACTAGATTAATTGCAATGCACTTTGGTGCATTTGTGGTTTTTGTGAACTTTAGAGCCATCACCAGGTCGAAATCTTAGTATAATATCTTTGTTATTTTCTTAACAGTAAGCATTAACTCAGCTTCACAGAGATGCGAGTATGGCTGTAGACTACTAATCATGTTCCGATAAAACAGTTAAATGGAAACCACAGAAAAAGTCACAACACACATCAGGATACTCCAGGAGTATAAAACTGACCACTGTAACTACCATGTCTGTTTTACTTGAGGCTGGAGATCTTTGTTCATGTATGCCCTTTCATACCGCTCATTATCTGTCACCTTTACACTGTTTCTCATTTCATTTAGAGGAGAAACCTCCCACAGCACTTGTAGTGTAAAGTCCAGCTTTACAGTGTGACCTGTGCATTTCAGCCTGTGGCCATCATCGGGGTCATCGTATAACGCAGCTATGTGTCTTCAGTCTTTTTTCCCTGATAGAAGTTGTTCCAGCATCCCTATGTGGCTCCTTGCTAATTAAGGTCTTCTGACTGCATTATGAAACTTCCAAAACTAAAGTCACCATGAATGTTTTGTGCTTTTTTTTAGTTTTCTCTTCATTTAAGCTCACAAAGACGTACAGAGACCTAAATACTGATGGCTATCTATTCCCCTTTGGTAAAACTAAAACAAGGAAATTAAACAACCAATGGCATGTTATGTTATGTTTACACTACGAAAGTTTCCAAATGGCCAAGCATAGCCACCTACATTGTAGTAGCCAAATCGCTATTGAAGAGTGGAAACACTGAAATAAAAATATATGATTAATTGAAGCTTCACTGCATCACTGGAGTGCTAAAAATGTTGAGGTCTGCTCAACTTTGATTGGTAGTACGTCACTTTGCAACAAGTTTGGGACATCACTTTGTAGCTTCATATTTGCAGCTTAATTAAAAAGGACTTTAACCAGTTGCTTTTTAGCCTGAACATACCATTATTCTTTGACTTGCCTTGATTTGTATCAATTCAGTTTAGACAACAGCCTAAAGCAGCTTTTAAACCATTGGAGCTGTCCTTTACAAGGACAAGGAAGACATGAGGGCAACCTCATCACATCAGTCAACTCAGAGTTCACACAGACAAGACAATGGGACAGCATCTGGAGAGGGATGGGGTCTGGAGCACACGGTTATAATTAAAACCTTTAATAGGATGTAGCACCTCATTAAAAGCTTTAAGTATAATGTTTTTGTCCAGACCTTGTGCCTCAAGAGGAGAAAAGTTGAGATGAATAATACACCTGGGATTTGTGAGGTCACAGAGAACAAGCAATGTTATTAGGTTGTGTTTGGTCTAAAGTGTGTCACCCTTATTTTACATTTAAAAAAAAAAAAAAAAAAAAAAAGTGGAAAGTTACAGCAGCAAAATGTCAACAAACCTTAAAAAAGACATGTTTTGTGTATTATAAAGAGAAAAAGCACTCTGCTCTGAGAGGTGTAGGCACTTCTCAAGAAAACATTTGGACACACAGAAGTTAAACTATGTCTAGATTCTTGACTGCAAAAGATGGGGAATAATTTGATTTCCATTCTTAGTCTTTACTTTTAACTTCTTGAGGCTTGATGAAAACTGACAGTGGAATAACCATATCCACTTATAAAACCACTTCTCAGTAGTTCACCTCTTTGGCAGGTGTTTGGACCTTTCTTACAGTATGCTTTCTAGAGAAAAAATCAGTTGTAGGTAATTAATATATTATCTATTACAGTCCTAAAAACCCATTATAATTACAATCAACATCATAATCACGGTTGCAGCAGCTCACACAATCTCCCAAATCACAGAACTCACAGATAATTAAGTAAACTACCTTAAAAAAAAGATGACCTGAGTCCACTCATCCCTATTCTGCTAACACTGCTACATAACCTTCATGTGACACCTGATCCACAGGTGCTGCACAGCTGAGCACTTCACACATGCAGTAAAGGGGACCCACCTCCTTGCAGTGAGGGTTTCAGCAGAGCCAGGAGAAGGACTCCATGCAGGTATGTGGCCACTGTCCCCCTTGCCATCTTGCTCCAAAATGTCCCTCTCCTCTCCCAAGCTCCAGGTTTTATCCCCAGCAAGCCTATCAAGGCTCAAAAAGGCCTTTAGAAAGAAGGAGGGAAAACGAGTGAGAGCAGAAAAAAAAGGGTAAAGGATGCAAAACAGGACACTGTGTAATTGGGACACACAGAAAGATAGACAAGGAAAAAAAGGGGGGTGTGGGAGAAGGAGAGAAAACACACAGGATCACCTCATTAAACCAAATGGGTTGTTCTAACCCCCCAATGACTGTTGGGCTGCATTTATTTGGTTCCCTACTGCCAAGAAGAGGGTGGGTGGGGGGTGAGAGAGAGAGAGAGGGAGAGAGAGAGAGAGAGAGAGAGAGAGAGAGAGCGAGAGCGAGAGACAAAGAGGATGAAGGAGAGAGTCTGTGAATTGTAAAAATTGGGAGTCAGTGTTTTTCTTTTTCTCCACACCTCAAAAAGAATCGGGCACTATGCCAGAAGTGTCATGTGTCACGTTTATGTCAAAGAACAACTGTAGTGACTCAAGAGGGCACATATCATGAGTCTTTGGTACCCACTAATGGAATGCTGCATTAAAGAATGTGCATTACGAAAAATGAAATTATATTGACAATGTAAGCATTGTCAGACTGACATGTAACATGATGGATGGAGACATAAACATTGTAGCTGCAGCCTGTTGTGTGAAATATGTTCGTATGTCTGCACAAAGGGTGGAGGCTGAGGTAGTCTGGAAAACATCCATATATCACATCTCACTGTCAAATAAAAAATGTATACCTTAAATAGGTGAATCCATGAGTGAAGTCAGATCATAAAGTTTTCTGCAGTGAGTGAGACATGTGTAGGAGGGGAGAAGACACTGAAGGATTGCAGCAAAATGTAGAAGAGACAGGAGAGGGGAGGAAGGAAAGAAAAAAGAGCAGACAGAATATGAAGCAAAAATGTAAAAGTGAGGTGTTAGATCAAGTATGTGGTGTTTATGCCTTAAAAAGAAAGAGCGGTCTCATCGTAAGAGATGGTGTCAGAGATGTCACCTTACTGGTTATTCACCTCTGGACTCTTATCCACAAAGCCTTGTGCTTTTTGTTCACGACTTTATATCCAGCAGTCCCAGATGCCACAGAGACACACAAGTCAGGATACCTGGAAACAATCAGTGTTTTTATTTCGACCAGTGGTATTGCTTAGGTTTTTCTCCATGTTTGGGCTGGCTGGTTCTGTCCCAGCTCCTGAGGGCCGATGTCTGAGTCTGGCAGGATTGCTGAAACATTTTCTTTTTCTGGAGGTAATGGGCCTGGAAACAGTTGAAGTAAATGAGCTAATGGTACCTAAACACTGAGAATGGGAGAAACACTTGTAACCTCTCACAGATACTGTCATGTTCATCCTTTGGCAGAAAAATGTAGCTTCACAACACTAGACGTTTTTACTGACCTCTCGGAGGAGGAGATGAACACTGATTCTGATCTAAACCGTGTCCAACTCGAACGCTGTAACTAATGGCTCATGGACAAATGGTTAAACCAAGCAGGGCTTCTGTGCTAAAAGTCATCTCATTATCAGACACACTCGCAGTACAGTTTTCTGTCTTCTACAATGACTTCGCTCTCAGCACAAAATGATAAATAGTTGATCTCAGGTGACTGAAGAAGCAGTAGAAGCAGGCTAAAATGTGGCAAATGTTTTTGCGATGTGATCATGTAGAAATCTTTGGTTCTGAGTTCAGTCCAAAACACCCCAATTAGTAAATGAGTGTACTGTATTTTTGTATTTCTGCACCAGTTTATATGTACATTTGTGTGTGTGTGTGTGTGTGCATGTGTGTGTGTGTGTGTGTGTGTGTGTGTGTGAGTGTCCGTGTGTGTATGTTTGAGAGAAAGAATGAGAGAGGCAGTGCTACCTGAGCACCCATAATTGGTCTTAAAATGTAGTTTTATTGCTCCGTTTTCAGACCTGGTATGCTTTGTGTTTAGCTTTGATAGAACTACATAGTTATGCAGTGAAATAATACTGGAGTAATAACAATCGAAGAATGAAGGGAAAATTAGAAGTACATGTTGAAAGCCATATGTATTTTTTTGGTCTTATGGCCTTTATTACAGGTGTGAGGTCAAGATTTAGAGTAAACATGGAGCACATTTAAAATTATGATTGACCGCAATTTATAATCCAAGCCTTATGTTGCTGTTGCATATATTACCTTGCTTCTGTTCATAAATTTGCCATGAATACCCTAAATTTACTGCATTTGGAGTGCTTAGATAGACCACCTTTTCTTTTCTGTAACATCTTTAGTCTGGCGCTCACATGTAAAAGACAGATGAACTTCTTTGCAGGAGATCTGAAACCATTCCCTCGATCTTATACCTCAGACGGTCAGTAAAATGAGAAGTAACATATGTTCCTAAGAGTCTGTAAAACAGTAGAAGTAGTCAGAGGAATCAGGATGTTTCAGAGTTAGTTTGTAGAGTGAGAAAAACATACCTGTTTATTTACTCTGAGTGCAACTTTCCACTGCAGCCAGTTCCTCATGGTGATGTAATTACACTCGCACCTGCATATGTAAACACAGAGAGAGAAATATTAATTCAGCATGGTCAGTAAGTCTAAGAGCTTTTGTCTGTGTTTTTCCTGTGTGGAGCGGTTTCAGTGTTTATGTGGTTTTCGTTCCAAAAACCTAAAGGCATGCAAGTGAAACAATAAATTTGAGCTTAATAGTTCTATGATGGATGCGGCATCATCCTACATCCTGTCAAATGAAATTCCACCCCGCTGACATTGAGTCATGATTTTAAGACAGGGATGGGAGTGTTGTCATGTTTGAAAAAAGCAGTTGACTTTCTAACGAACCGTCATTCATACCCTTAAAGTTAGACAAGTCTAGCATAGAAACAGAGCAATAACCAAAACAAAGCCAAAACATAGATAACAGGAGTTTGCACAATGATGCAGCACAATGATGGAAACAGTGAGGAACCAAAATATCTTTTAAGCCTTTAAATACTGTTTCGAAATTTAAACAGCTGCTAGTTGGAGGCCATTTTGTATTTGCTACTCTCTTGTTTTTCTTTTGATTCTGGACTTTTAGTACCAATAACTAAGTGATCAACATATGGGTGTGATTCAGGAATGATCACACATAGTTACATCAAAATCTTGGTTTGTGCTAATAATTGCTCTAAGTCTAGACCTTATACATATAGTTTTGTGCTCCACATGTGGAGTAAA